CTCCTAATCAATCTTTAAATTAAAGTTTTTTAACAGGTATCCCCTCAGAAATAATCTATTTAATCATAACCCCTTAATTTCTTTTGAAATGGACCATTTTTCTCTGTTAAATGGTAAATGGATTGTAGTTACAAATACCTTTATAACCAGCCAGACTACTCAAAGTGCTTTACAAAACAATCTGAGCCCAAATTTACTCATCAACACACTGTCATATGACACTCTTACAGATCTCTATTACGCTAATCTGAATAAAATTTTCTACATCAGAGGCGTCAAACTGATTTTCACCAAGAGCCACATAAGTGTTATGGTTGAAATTAACTTCAATGTTTTGTGTTTACTTTGACCAAACAGAAAACATCGCTTTCCTCATCTCGTTGGCCACAGCTGATCATCATTAACAAACAATAACTGAGCTCTACCTGATATTTCCTGCATAGAATTTCAACACTTCTTCTAAACACTGAAAAGTATTACATTTACGACTCACTACATGCTAAATAATTGACACAAATACAATTAAAAGTAAGAGTTTTACTCAGAGCTGTGGTGAGTAGCTGCCAGTGGTGGGTGCAGCTAACCAAACAATTAGCTTCACTAAGTTATAATAAGCTAACTAAATAAATCTCCTTTGAGTTGACTGCTGGGACTGACAAACCTGTTGATGTTAACTCATTAGTTAGCTGTTAGCAGACTTAAAGYGGGCAAAACCTAATTTAGCGGGAGCTAATGGGTTCGCTAACAGCTGGTGAAAAAGCTGATCTCTTAAATAAAAAAATTAGCTCTGCTGTTAGCTGATTAGCAGAACCATGCCCACCACTGGTAGCCTAAATAGTAGGTAGGCTAAATATTTTGATGACTTCACTCAGCCTTGGTGAYACTTCATCTATATTTGTCCCCATGTGGGCGGGGTCAACATGCTGTAAACACAGTGACTTTAATCCTGCTCCAGTTTGTAACATACATATCTGTTTTTACCCATCAGCCTCGGCGTGAACTCGTGTTTCTGCCCCTCTGATGAGCGGAGGACCAACATTTATTCCCCCGTGGCTCTGCTTTCATCCCACTTCTCCTGAGAGGCTGAGTGTGGCGCGACTGATCCAAAACATAATTTTTTTTTTTTTTTTAATGACAGGATTTAAAACCAAACCGGCGAGCTGGAAAATACTAACCGAGCTCTGGGAGCCAGTGATAAGTCTGTGATTTATAACTTCACAGTCAGTCAATTGATTGTTGATACGAAATGACTGAATCAGTAAATACAAGATGAGGAATCCAAAAACGGCGGGGTGCTCATGCCTGTAATTGCCGCTGACTGAACACACACACTTTAAATTTTCTTCACGACAAAGACAAGAAGCTTTTCGCTCTGAGTGAACACAAAAATTTATTTTGTTTTAATAATAATAATAATAATAATAATGCATTAGTTTTT